ATCCATTGCCTCCCTATTGCCTACTATTATGCCATTACTGTCCAGTTATTAGGTTCACCAGAGAGCCGACATTTGTAGAGACAATTAATTTGTTTATTTGTTTTTATTAAACATCAATACAGTAGTGCCCACACAATRCAYATCAATGGTCTCTCACTGTTAAATAATTTTTGATGATAGACACCATACATACATTGTATAGTGTACTCTAAATAACACATATAATTAATTTCATAAATAAATATCTTTATCAATGCCAACACACACACAGTCTGTCTGACACTGACTGTCATCACAATTATGTTTATGATTTTGAAGTTAATTAAATATATGATTAAATTAAAAAATAAGTTTTGCGGTTATATTGTTTTGTGTTAAGAGAATAGAAATGTTGACTTAAATTTCATTAATATCACAAATGTAAAGCTAAACATTAAGTTTTATATTTCAAAATGACTAATCATTTATTATATGCCGATATATTGTATATACAGCTTTAATATAYGATATAACACACATAATTTAACAATTATTAGCGCTTATAAGTTATACGTAGAGTATAATACTATATATATATATATATATATATATATATGCAGTATATACCCTAAAGGTACTGTCACTTGAAAATTGGGCTCAATTTGTAAAGATATTGATTATATAAAATTTTATGCAAATATATTGAGTTACACTGATTTGGTGTAATTTGGGCTACAGTTTGTTAATTCAGTAATAAAATATAAATTTATATTATATAGAATACAATAGTTGTTGTACTTTTTTCCTATGATTATCTAAATTATAATTATGTATATTATTGAAAATGCTTCAAATGTGTTGCATGTATTCAATAAATTATTTGTATTATATTTAAGCTAATGTGTGATATATTATTCTATAGATAAATATGACAATAGTTTAAATTTAATTAAAATTATTTTTAAGTAAAATATCATYTTTATTAATACATAAAATTTTARGCACTTATTTACTTTAATGAAAATTTAAAATTAGACATACTGTTGCTTTTTAATAATTTATTTAGAAATAACAATCTAATATAAAAAATAATTATTATTACTATTAATATTAAAACATAAATTGTTATTTAATAAAAATGTTTGCTAAAATAATTAAACTTATTTAAAAATTTATTTCTAATTTTATAAATTATATTATATTATGTTCAAATAAAATTATATTTTATTTACTAAAACCAATTTTTACATTTATTGTATTTTAGTTATATAGTACATTTTATTTATTTCAAGTTTAATTAATATTAAACAACTTATAAATATCTTTTATAATAATAAATGTTATATTTTACATGTATTCATCTGTATTTATGTAAGTTTTAAAAAATAATTAAATTTATTTTATTTGTATCAACTCAATAGTTAAGTTTGTTAAATATGTGACAGTTATGTAGGAAACGCCTGTTATGTTTCAAATGAACAAAACATTGATTACAATTAATATGATTAATATTAAACAATTTATAATAATAATAATAATAATAAAAATAATAACAATCTTTATATTGTTTATATATTAATATATAAATATATATTGTTTATATTTTAGATAAAAATTGTATAAAATAAACTGTATAAAAATATACAAATAAAATACATGTCCTTATAAAAATTGATTTTATTAGTGGAAAATATTATTTTATATGCATTATATAAATTGATATAAACATTTTACTATAAATATTATATGCAAATACATATGTTATTTTGTATGTATTTTAATAATAATATGACAGACGAAATAAAACTAAATTTAATCCTTAGATTCAAAAAAGGCATTTTTATCGTATAAATTGTCATTAAATACTATTAATAAAATAAATATAGTATTTATTTATTCATTCAATATATTATTTATAAAGACTAACATTTGCTAAACTGTTTAATAATGCATAATATTAGTAGTTTAATGTCTTATATAATATATAAAYAGTATATTAAAATATGGACATATTTAAATACTTATACTAAAWATATATTTATATTATTGATATTAATTGATATAAACATTTTGTATATGTAGTTCAAAGTTATAACAAATAAAAGTTATTAATTGACATATTATAAATAATCAAATTGTAATATTAAAATTTATCTAGATGATATATTTAATATTTATCATTTATAATTTGACATATGTATATATTTTATTAGGCGTTTACTCAAAAAAATAAATAGTAAATATTTTATAATAAAAACATTTCAATCTATAGATATAGAAATATTATATAAATTATGTATAAAGTTTTATTATGCACATAATCATAAATGTTGGGATAATTTTATTATAAATAAAACTACTATAATATATATAAAAAACATTTTATATAGCTATTTATTATTTTTATTATTAATATTATATTTATTGAAATATAATATTGTGTAACAAATAAAGTATATMAAATAAGTTATTTTAAATTTCAAAATAATATTCAAAATATTTTTTTATACTGTTTCACATTTAATAGAYTACATTATATATATATATATATATATATATATATATATATATATGATTTACAAAAACCATAAATCAGCAATCTATTAGATAACACACATATACTGAGAGAGARAGAGAGAGAGAGAGAGAGGGAGAGAGAGATGTTATGTTTTATGCCGTTATATAYTGTAAAATATATAATATTTAACTTATTWAATATATATATAACATTATATACATCTATTATATACCGGTAATATTTGACATTAGGGTTGAAAACACATMAAATTATTAGAAATATTAAATGTTTTATAAATTTGTTTTTTAAGACGATTATATTTGAAAGATAGAAAACTAGAATTTTATAAATAATGAAATTTTTCTATTWAATAATAAATATTTTTTATGTAATATAATAGTTGTCAACAACAAATAAGAAAAATTTTTAGAAATATATATTTTATATAAAATATTTTAGTTAATATAATATATGATAAATAAATACTACAAACAAACAAATAAACTATTTTTAGATAAACAATAATATTACAAATGTAAAAAAATTCATTAATAAAATAAATGTATCAACTATTAGTGTACATGAAAWACATTATCTATTTGGCACATTTSAAAAAAGTTTCAAATTGATTTATGATATAAAATCACACACACATTGGCTTTTAGGCTCTCATTTAGCAATATTACAGTCATTACGATACCAATTATATTGCACTAAATATAATTATAGGCAATATATATATAATATTCTTATATATACAATAYTATYATAATATACTTACATACTATATATAATAAAAAAATATATTTTATAGTTATTACATAGTAGTAGACAATATAAATATATTACCTGTATATACAATATATATTTGTGAATTTAATGAATTTTTTTCTCTCTCTCTATAAATTCGTGCCGTGAGTTCACAATTGTTTAATTCATTTGCTTTAAAGTTATGAAACATGTATTAACAATAGAAACACTATTASAAAAATATTTGAGCAAATTTTTGTWATGTGCAATATATTATATATAAAAAATATTTATTACTCAGYAATTTATTAATTATGTTTAACTGTCATTAAATCCCATAGTTTGATGTAAATTCATAATAAATGATACAAATTTTTAGTTATTATATACAAATAATAATAATATTTTCTAAATCATTTTCGTTGAGCATTTAAGAGATAAATTTTTATAATATTTCAGTATTTATAGCATTTATATACAGTATGTCAATATATAGTATATATAAACTATAAAMAATATATGTGTGACTTATAAAAAATATGTAATAATAAAAACAAACATCCGATTCACATACCAATGATTGACTATTTTGAGTTAATTTTCAAAATACASAGTTAAAATGGTTATTAACATAAAATATTTTTAATAAAATAAAATATTACAATATATTTTTATCTGATTTAAAATAAACAAACACTTWGTTAGTTAGTTATCATCAGGATTTGTGACAGATGTTTGGTATAACATAATTTTACTGTATCTATAAATTTTTATACAATACTATACTATCATATAAAGTAAATGTAGTGTATGTTTCAAGTGAAACAAAAATACCGGAAAATTATCTAAAAGTTAGTGTATTATTGAGTGTGCTGTGTATGTCGAGCACATAGATATATATAGTCTAACATTATTGCCTTAAAGCCAATGATTTAAACAAAAAAAAATTGTAGTGATTTTAAACAACATTTTTGTGATGAGTCAACGCTTTTAGAGTCAACTTTGCTTTTGAATAATGAKTTTTTACTTTTAACTAATAAAGTAAAAGCTTTATAGTTTTTTTAGTCAATTAGTTAATATTAATGCTAGAGTTTGTCAGGTATTATATATAGGTATGGTCTCTCATGGTATTAGTAATAAAAATAATAATAATAATAAAACACACGTATACAGTACAGTATAGATATTTATACATAGATTCAATAATAATAGTTAATAATGATACAGTTATAATAATAATAATAATAATACAGTTTGTATTATATACAGTATATATATATATGAAACATAAGATAACAAATCAATAGTAAATCAGAAGAATTAATATAACAAAAATTATATGAAGATTATTATTATCATTATTGATAAAAACAGTATATTTTCTGTGAGATTAATTGTGTATACATTGTATACAATAAATAGATAGAAAATTTATATATACAGCACAGTATAAGATAGAAAGTTTTGGTTGTGTGACAAATAAAAAGATAACAAAATAAATAATCAAATAATATATAAAACATATAAAATAARCCGTAATCACAAACACAGCAACAGTCACATCAACATAACAATCAATGGGTTAACACATAAAATATTTGTTGTGTGACAGATATGTGACCACAAATCTAATATATTATATTATATTCTAAATCATATAATAGAAATCATAGGAATATTCTGGTTTTTSTACTGAATGTGCTTTTYATATACAGTATATAAATATAAATATAAAATATAGTTGTTTTCRTACCTTTGGGTATAGTAGTCGTGTCAATGCAAGACTCAGTTGTCTTAAATCCAGTTTTTCKATTTCCGGTGTTTCCGGTCTCTCAAACATTAACAACTCTGTTGGTGTGGTTATCTGTGGTGAGCTGGCATTCGATGATCGCCCGGAGCTACTGTTACCGTCAMCCGATGTTGATAGTACTGTTGGTGGCGGTGCCCGTAAATACCAATTACTGGCGCACGGAATCAATACTTTTGACATTTTCCGTGGCGTACGGGGACTGGCATTAGGTGTAGCAATAACTGTCGTATTAGTCGACATAATTTGGTTTTTAGTTTTATCAATACACGAATTACTAGTTATATCCATAATAATAATAAATGTTWTTATTATTATTATTATTGGTTGTTATAATTTTGTTGGTGACATTGAATAACTTAAMTTTGTATATTTAGTAATAGTATAACTGGTCAACAAAAAAAACACAATTTTAATTGATGATTAATTTGCTTACATGTWAAGAAAGTWATTTATTAAATTAATTTGTTATMATTAAAATTGTATTTAAAAAACTTCATTTATTATTAAATTTTAATGTCAAAAAACTTRTGTCTGAGAAATTAATAATAATTGTRAGAAAATATTAATTAGAAAATTTTCCGTCAATTTTTATATAAATATAATTAGTATTTCCTTTACATTGAATTTATKATTATTATTATTATTATTATACACAACACATACCATAYCATCTACTATACAATCTTCCGATAATTGTTATGCAAATAAAGACATCTTTTCATATATTAATATAAATTAAATATTAATATTAATTAAATAAATATTATTAATATCTAATATATATATATACACAAATTTCGTGGAAACTTAATACAAAATGTTGTACTGATTATAACAGATATATCTTATAATTATTTTTTATAATTATATTATGCATTGAATAAAAAAMTAGTTTAATTAGTATTATATAATATGTAAACATATATGGTTGAATATAATTTTAGAAAAATACTTAAGTTAAATCATTATAATATTATATAACAACTGTAATTATTAGTCTAATGGGAAATGGACTCAATTTTGTAAATACCAATGTTGAACTATTTATAGTAAAATTAGATGCATAATAATGTACATAAAACTTATGTTTTAGTATTTTTTTTGGTTTTATCATTAAGTGTATTGATTTTTAAAATTTTACTAACAATGAAAAGGTTAAATTTAATTAATAGTTTAAATTGTTAGACACATACATACTGTATAAAACAACAAACATATAAAAGTCAACAACAATTTGGATATAATTTCTATTTTATTAATAAAAAAATAAAATTTAAGTTATATTAAATTTAAGAATAATTTATATAAATTTATATGTTTTGACATTTATAAATTTATTGGTTACATAGATATAAATTTAAACTAAAATAAAATGCAACTAAAATAGAGAATATTCTTTATTGACTAAAAAACTTCTAAATATCAATATATAGAAATATACAACAAATTTAATATAAAATTTGTTATATATATAACACAAATCAAATCAACTAACTTATCATATTTGACATTTGAAAAAAACTATATTGAAAAATCAAAATCAGTTACATAATATATTTACCTGAATAGCAAATATTATAAATTAGAGATAGTATTTTTTTTGGTAGTGTCGACACCTATTTATATTACCAATTCTATCAATCTTGTTGTAATACTGTGTGAATGTATAGTAAGGATCAGTATATGTCAGTCAATGTCAGCAACAAAATAGTCAATGAATTGCCATAACTTATGGGCAAAACAACTGTGAATTTCAATATGCGATTCTGTGTACTGTATGAGTGGGAAACACATATATAAATATACACATACACGCCGTCTACTATACTAACACTATGTCTGTAAACTCCTAGTGCTATACAATATATATCTATATATAACTATAAACCAACAGTCCTTATATATATATACAGYATATACAGAATATATGGTATATTTATTGCATTGGTATTCCACACAATTGTTTAGCACATGGAGTCTGTGCTCTATTGCCTTTCCATTCACTCCATTGACTATTTATTTGCTGTTAGCCAATGATCTTGCATTCACATTGTTATCTGGGTTATTATATACAGTATATATTTTATTTAACTTATATTTAAGAGATTAATATATTCATATACAATATATATATATACTTACTGTATATAAAAGATTATATTTATTTAGTATAATGTTAGACATAAATATATACAATACATAGTCATATTAAAAAACAAGTGTTTTGTTTATTATTTTTCTTTCATTTCATAGAAATAACTATTTGATGTTACAGTATATTATATAGAATATTATATATATATTATAATTATCTTTCATATGTATTAAATAAAATAATATAATCTAAACCGAGATATATTACAACACAATTTTAGTGATTAACTTTTTTTTTGGTTGTACTGTTTGATTATCCACCAGTGTTTTAATTGCTAGTATTTTACTGTATAAACTAATTGCTTTTATCTCTCTCTCTCTCTCTCTCTCTCTCTCTCTCTCTCTCTCTCTCTCTCTCTCTCTCTCTCTCTCTATGCCACTCACTCTCTCAACATTAGTAATTCAGGTAAAGGTTTTTATCTCACAATTTAAATGATTGTTTCAAAGGAATTGTAACGCATTTTGTAATATACTATCATTAAAGACAAGTTAAATACAAWATTTACTAAAAAGAGTCAGAATATTCTGATTTTACATATATATTCTGAGTGTATATTTGTTTGTGTGTTAAGAATAATAATAATAATAAAACACACATTCAATGAAAAGCTATTATTATATATGATATTTTCATTTTTGTTTTCTAACACATTTTTCGTTGTTTTAGTTACTAATTTTATGTACATTTTTCTTATTTAATTAATTAAAACAAACTTTTGGATAAATAACAAAACGAAAACAATACAATAATACTAATTGTTGAACAACTTTAATAATATAGTTACTTAAAAATATTATTGTTACCCAACACTAATTATGTCGTAATATCTTTACTTCAATTTAAAAAATAACTATAAATGAAATTAAAAATAAAAAATAATTTATTTTCGAAAATATATAAAATAAATATATTTAAAAAAAATAATTTATTCTACAATTTGTTTTTTAAATAACAAATAAATGACTAAAAAATATTTTTATTTATATGTTTTTCTCTAAAATACTAACATTTATTATAGCTTAACATCTTATTTTTACAAAAACAACAAAAAATATGTTATATATTTTATATTTAAAAATAATGGCCATTATTACCGCTATTTTTAGTGATAACAAAATTATTGCTTTTTAGTCGTTATGTTAGATATCATATATATATATACGTATATATATTATATACAAATTTTTAAAAAATAACTATATATTTAATGTTTGCTATTTATATGTACAGCAAAAATAAATTGCCATATGTTTCATTTGTTTTATTATAGGTTATGTTATTTCAAGGAAACAAAATTATATGAGATATTAAACTTAAAACTAAATGAAATATAACAAATGTATTTTACTTGAAGGCTTAAATTTATCGATAAAAACAATAATATTGAAAAATTTTAAAAACAAACGTATGTCTATTATGAAAACAGCTAAAATATTTATATTAATTATTAAAGTGTATGTCATTATAAACTTGATATCATTTATTTAATAAAATATTTATTTTATGTCTATTTATTATTATCTTTAATACATCTAATATTTGTTTTGTATTTCTATTAAATTTTTAAAATTCATAATACTAATTTAGATTTATAAAATAAATAAATCACGTAATTAATAAAAATAAATAGTTTATTAACATTTAATGGGCTCTCAATGTTTACATTATATAATACTAAACAATTATAATTTATTAGTAATTTTGATATATGTGTTATGGATTTTAGCAATTGGTAATTGTTATAAAATATTGTGTAACATATACTAAATAATTAATAATATTTGACTAACAATTCAAAATCTTTACATTMCTTTTCATTTTTATTAATAATTGCAAAATATTAGTGAAAATACAATATAAAAAAATATAATATTACTTATTTAAGTCAATTAAATATCCATTATGTATTGTTTAATAAATTTCAATTTAGTAATATATATAAAAATAAATTTTTAATATATATATATTAAATAAATACACTCAACAACTATTTGTATATAAAATTACATTTTAATTAGTTTTATTGTCTTTTAAAACGATATAATACTAATGACTGTTTCTATATTAATCTTTCTGTGTATTTATACAATAATTTGCTTCATTAATGAGATAAAAATGATTGTTTATGTGATTTATATAATAATWCTATTCTATATATTAATTACATTCAATTAAATATATCTTCAATTTGTAAAGAAATAATAGTATAATAAATACATTTAATATATWATAATATACATATAATATTAATGATAAYAAATTGTTATGATTAACAATTATTTTAGTCATTTTAATAGTAATAATTACTAACAAAATATTTTTTATAATATTATAATAATAATAAAATATTTTTATTTATAAATCAATAATTAATTTGTATACATTTTAATGTAAAGTATTATAAATAAATATTTATTTAATACTTATTATATTTTTTGTTATCATTCAATAATCTAATTTTACATATATATAATATTTTTTTAAAAATATTTTTACAATATTAAAATCTATTATTATATTTTAAAATATATAAATCTAATTAAATAAATTTGATTTTTTATACTCAATAATATTAAACATATTATTTATTCATAAAAATTACATAAAACTTTCAATTTCTGTAAATGACATTTAAATCTGAATATTTTAGATAAGAAAATATAGTATACTTTAATATGTCATAAAAATTATTGAAGTTTAAGAAAAAATTATTGATCTGTAAAAAAATTTTGTGTCACACAACGTYTAATGTATCGAAATACTGTATTTTATATATTAATAWATATAGCAACAAAATAAAAATTTTTAAATGATAATTATAATCTATAAAATACCAATAAGATAAATTACTATGCTTAAATTATCTAAACTTGTAAATCTTTTTTTTAGATATCCAAAATAAAATTGCTATAATAAATCACACCACAAATTGCTTTTCTACACATAACCAACCAATGTTACTATAAAATTAATATTAAATAAAAAAAATAAAAACAATTGTGCGGTTAATACTGTATACTATTTAAAGGTATAATGAAAAAAATAAATATAAGATACTATTAGTTATTAGAGTAGACRGTATACT